CAAGTGCAGCCCAAGTGCAGCCCAAGTGCAGCTCAAGTACACCCCAGGTGCAGCCGCAGTGCAGCTAAATTGGAACATAAGTGGACCCGAGTGGAACTCAAGTGCAGCCCATAAGTGCAGCCTATAAGTGCAGCCCATAAGTGCAGCTCAGGTGCAGCCGCAGTGCTGCCAAATTGGAACTTAAGTGGACCCGAATGGGACCCAAGTGCAGCCAATAAGTGCAGTTTAGGTGTAGCCCAAGTGCAGCCTGAATGCACCCCAGATACAGCCCAAAGTGCAACCGAAGTGCAGTCGCTGTGCTGCCGAACTGGAACTGAAGTGGACCCAAGTGGAACTTAAGTGAACGCAAGTAACCCAAGTGCAGCCCAAATGAAGCCCAAGTGCAACCCAAGTGTAGCCCACGTGCAGCTCAAGTGAAACTCAAGTGCAGCCCAAGTGCGTTCACCGCCAGCACCACAAACTTACCCGCGCAGCTGCCAGACCGCCACCCGCACTCGTCAACAGTAACAGGCAAGTCATCAAACCATCACTGCATCTTTCCCTAAATCTACAGTATGTATGCGAAAATGTCGGAGAAACGTGCACACTCAGAAATCGTTTTGTCCGCGGAACGAAGTAATGGTGTCAATAAGGACAACAAAATTTTACTCTGTCAATTCAAATGTGTGCATTGTTCACTTTAAATACAGTGTATATGCAACCGTTAGTAAACGTAGTATGTAAAAGAACCAGCCAAACTCGAGTGGATGTGTTGATAGATGTGATCGGTTTAATGTTATTTTTGTTCCAATTACAGTTCGATTATTTTTTTCGTCTTCAGTTAGCAAATATTGTTTCTTAAAATTGGTTTTTGGTTGTGCTGACAAACTTTTCTGAGTGTCATCTCTGCGGTGTATTTTCGTGTTTCCGTATGACCACTGTGCCTATTTAACACTGTTAAAATCAGCTGCCTCGCGATTGCATTTTGTTTGATTCGCTAACAACAAATCGAGGGGTGGCCAACTCGCCAGAAAAAACAACAACATTAAAATTAGTTATTTTGAGTTTTGTTATCAAATTTTAAAATCTCAACGCAATGGCGGATTTTGACAAGCGGCATGTCCTCTGACTCGGTTTTTAGCGTATGTCACGTTTTCCCTCGGAGAGAAAGTAATATAGGATCGTAAGCTCCGTGAGTCGAGTGATAATTATAGGGTATTGTAAGCTTGGTGAGTAGAGTGATGTACGAGTCGGTCTCAACCCTCCGCGTTCTCACGACATTTGTTGTTGTGAAACAAAAAGTGGCTGTAAAAAGCACACGTCATCTGAAATACAAAATATTAGCAAACCTGCCATTCATTAAGAATCGTGTGTCTTTTGGTAGTTTCTTTTTCGCCGCGTGTTTCCATTGACCTGCGAAATTTTAAACGGAAACACGAAAATAGAACCTGGTCAAAATTAAACACGGATTCGTGTCGTACAAAGGTTTCAATTAGGGTTGTAAATTTTCTAAAATTCCCGTAAAATTTTCGAAAAATTCCCCAAAATTCCCGCAAAAAACGGAAATTTTCCGAAATCTGGGAAAAATTTTCGTTTTTCCGCGGAAATTTTCTGCTTTTTTCGGAAACTTTCCAGGGCTTCCAACAGTAGTTTCAATGAAGCGCGTTGGTCGTGGCGTGCGCAGGGTGGAGCCCTAGGAGGGCCGCGCGGCCCCCACCATGCCCGACGCCCTGCAGGCCGACAAGACGGTGCGGTACGTCTTCGTCGCCTTCGCCATGGTGTTCTGGATCATCCTCGTGGCCTGCGTCATCATCTTCTACCACGGCATGGGCAACTGAGGGGGTCGCCGACGCGACGACGAGGCTTGGGTGGTGGTCCGGGAGGCGCCGCCGCCATGGACGCCGTGGAGCAGGACGACGTCGCCGACGTCGACCACGAGTCCCTGCTGGACATCTGGCTGGACCGCTTGTTCATGGTCGCCTGCGTGCTCACGATGTACTTGTGGTCCGTGTCCATGTGCGACAAAGCCATGCACTGCCGCGTCCTCCTGGACTTCGGCATCGCCCTGATCGAGGCGAACATCACGTTCAACAACACCGCACTGCTGGACCTCTGCGTCTAAATAGAGCGGCGCTCAGCATAGACATTTCTATTTTTCCAAAAAAAGTACTTTTGGGAACTTTTTCAAGGATATTTTTAAAAGTCTATTTTTCCCCTTAAAAGCTTTTTGTTTGTTTTCTTATTTTTTATTTTTTTTTTTAACTTCCCATATCTTGTGAAAAAGCTGCCCAGTAATTCGGAAAACATTCAGAATTTCAAATCCCTAGCTCAGAATGGCCGCCGTTGCGGTTAACCTTGCGCTCCTCCCGGCGCTCGTCCTGGCGCTCACCCTGGCGCACGGCGCCGCCCGTCTGCCGGACGAGGCCGTCACGGTCACCAACGACCACGCTGACCGTCCAGCGACTCTGACTTCGGCTCCTATTTCCGCCCTGCGTCCGCCCCCGCCACCCCTGCCGCCCCCGCCGCCTCCACCTCCGCCTCCACCTCCGCCTCCGCCGTACCCACCCTCCCCCGCAGGGTCGCCGTCCCCGACGAGGTGCGCGATCCGGCCGCACCCCAAGATGACACTGTTCGGCATCGTCGGCTACCTCGGCATGGTGATCGCGAGCCTCGTCCTGTTCATCGTGGTCATGGTCATGGTCCTCATCGACGCCAACGTATTCGAGATGTTTTTTTAGCCTTGCGGGGTGGGTGGGGGGTGGGCAACGTCTTGCTTGCAGTCCATGCGTGTAGTGCCGGTTGGCCCACCCCGAGCCTCGCAAGGCGCCGAGCTTCGGTGCTTCGTGGAATGAATCTGAGGAAGACGGGCGCACTTCCTAGACGATCCCATAGAGAAGGAGTACTGAGACGACACGAGTCGCGGACCTGTCACACGCACTCAAGCAAATCACATAGCCCCAACTCTCTCTCTCTCTCTCTCTCTCTCTCTCTCTCTCTCTCTCGCCTACCCCCTCCTTCCTCCCTCTCCATCCCGCCCTCTCTCTCTCTCCATCCATTAGGCCCGCGTGTTTGAGAACTTCTTATCTCACAGGAGTTTAGTTCACTTTTGTTAGGATCACATGGGTTCACACGAAATTTCTTTAAACGAAAAAAAGAAGGAATATCTTCAATTAAAGACTTCCTTCCAGGCCTCTCAAAAAGTGACATCAAACAATATGTTACGTCACTGAGAGATCGGATGACGTTGAAGCATCGCGGATGGGGGCGAGGGGGAATCCGACCTTGGGACCATCTTTATCTCTTATTAGGGAGAAGAAAACGACCTATCTCGCTCTCCTCCCCCTTCTCTCTCTCTGTCTCTCTGTCTCTCTGTCTCTCTCTCTG